AAAAAAAAAATACGAATACGTTACATTTGGTGGATTTGTCACATTGGATAGAAGAAAATTGTTGAGCATCCAAGCATATACCAGTGTACATCAAACATAGCATATAGTGCGCATCATACAGAGTTAAGATCACATTTAAAAACCATTCTTAATGTGTATCGCAGAAAGGCATAACAATTTCGATCTCTCATATTCAAGATAGTATGTATCAACAACAATTCAAAACAAAATAATATACATTTATTGCTTCTTCAAGAGCAAGGGGCCAACATTATCCCCAGTAGCCTTGTTGTGCTTCACATGACTCCCATCACATAGAGGGAAAGTCCCGGACCTCCAACACCTACACCACCACACCCAAATCGGCTTAAACCGTAAAGAGATTACAAAGTTCAAACCTTTTTCTAACTTAAGTACATCAAAATAACGGTCGATAAGCATAAAATCAGATGCATAACAAACGGAGAGAAATGACTTCCATTGCTCAACACTGAATCATTCAAACTATCTTTTTATCGAACACCTCAAAGACACGAAAGATAAATATACGTGCAAAAATACCAATTATTTTCATTTGTTTCATTTATCAATTGTTAACTCAATTCAGAACATGTGGAGATTTTAACTGGTAAATTCACTCATAAGAGAAACAATGCACACTCTACATATTTAGTAATGACCACAGGATAACTTTATGTCTTACAAACTGTAAAGAGAAGTTAATATGCAGTTCAGAGGGGCCTCAGGCAAGAGAAAAATCAAAACAAAATTAAGAGAAAAAAAAAATAATAGAACCTGCAGTAGGCGGTGAGAGGCTTGGCGAGCTCAGTAACAACAACGGAATCGACAACTTTGTCTTCAGCCTTGCGGATATCGGGATTGATGGCTTCCGCCCTCACCGCCACCATCCGCCGCGGCTTCGCCGCGAATCGGCGGTGGGAGATCCCGGCGGCGGAAACATTGCAGAAAAGGGAAGCCATAGAAATGTGAGTAGGAATTGGGAAAGTGTGGATTAGCGGAAGAGGAGTTAGATTGAGGGTTTTGTGTTGTGCGTGTGTGCGAATGAACAAAGGAGCGTGTGGCGGACACGGTGGGCTTGTGATCGAGAGTGGGCCGAGTATCGGGTGGACGATCTTGCTC